GTGGCCTGCTCGTGTGTGACGGCAGCCGTGATCAGACTGAATGTCCTAAAGAACGAATACGGCCCTGACGGCCTGCTGCAGCTGCTGAGAGACGTCCTGGACACGGACATGGTGAGGACACATTCACTCGTAACTAGGGATGTAACAATTCACTCAACTCACGATTCGATTCACGATTTAAGACAAATTATAAATTAAATGTGTCCTTTTATTATTGCTTGGACAAAATGCTACACATTTCTTTGTGAAATTGAAATATAACACTATAATAATATACTAATATAGCACTTTGTTGGTTTTGATTGCTTTTTTGGATAAAAGCATCTGCTAAATGACAAATTTTAAATATAATGTAAATGTAAATAACAAAACTAAATAGAAATTTTAAAACAATCCCCAAATCAAATAAATAAGTAACACAAATCAAATAAATCTCTTTATATAAACAAACTCAGGCTTTGTCTGTGCTCTTAACATTTCAAATCAGAGACAACCACTGCATTTTAATCACGATCCAAACAAAGATACTGCATACATGTAACACGAGCAGTTTTCAATCTAAATTAGATTGTATGATTTCAAAATTTGAAGCAAAAACAGAATGGTCTGACTTCCGTTTTGTGAAACTATACATAAAAATATCTGCATGAAACAGCAACAGCACTATGTACTCAACCATGTAGTGTATGAATTAGATAAGGTTATTCTGTCATTCATAAACGGAGTCTGATAGCCCCTCCCGCTTCACTACGTAATTAAAGCTGCGACAGTTGAGTGCATGAAGTGTTCCGTCCTTCGGATGAGACGTTAGACCTGCTGCTGACCCACTCCTCTTCTCCATCTCCTTCCTCTTCTCCTTCAGGTAGGTGTCCCTGAGGCTCTTCCACTTTTTTCTGCACACGTCCTCTGAATAAACACATTATCTTGTTAGCGAAAAGTAGCTGTAGGGGGGAAATAGTTGTAAAAAACGGCGGGAAGGCCGCGGGTCGATAAACGTGCACGTGACTCAAAAGTGAAATGTGTATTTACAACTTACCAGGTTGCCCAATCTCCTCACCGACACTCTTCCAAGCGAGGTCCTTTTTATTCCTGTCTCTATAGAAATATGAACTTGTGTCATAAATCTCTGGGTGACTGCTCACTGATAATATCAGTCGTTCCTCCATTTAGAATGAGTGACTCCGGGCGGGCCTGCCGCCACAGCAGCAAGCAGGCTCCTGATTGGTTAACGCGGCACGAATTGACGCCAAAGTTAAAAATTTTCAACTCGGGCGTCAGACGCGAATTCGCGTCAAACGCGTAAATGCACAAAAAGCTAAATTCGCGTAATTCGCGCGAACTAGACGCGCGAATGAGGCGAATTCGCGTCTTCCGCGCCACGCTAAACGCCTCACTGACGCCGCGAGACCTCCAGACGCGCGTAAACGCGTCTTTACATTGACTTAACATTGAAATCATTCGCGCCAGACGCTCTATTCGCGTTTGGTGTGAACGCAGCATAAAAGACTGCTGTTGATTGTTAACTCCAGTGGCGTAGAAGGTAAAGCACATAACAAAGTTTTTTTGTTGACGCGATCGACCCGGGTTCAAATCTTTTTTTTCTCCCTTTTCAAATCTCATATCACATCAGAAAGGCATTTATTTTCAATAAAAATGAAGGAAATAATCAAAAAGTAATTAAAAATATAAAGTAAAAATTTAAATAAATAAATAAAATACAAATGATAAAGTAGTTAATTAAATTAAGTAAAGTATCGGGTAGGTGAAGGGAGGGCTTTATTGTCCCAATAAGGTGGCATCCATTTAATAATTTGAATTAAAATTATAATTTACACTCAATACGTTATTATTGCATACCGTTTTATAATGTACTACAATACTGAGGTGCAGATAATTGCCACTAGTATAAGTACTCTGAGCCAGTAGAGGGAGCTGATAGCCCCAGTATAAGTAGCAGAAAATCCTTCTATTTTAACATAGTGTAAATAGCATCTATCCAGCGTTATTTTTGGCTGGGCCAGTGAAAATGTTGGCACAATTGAGGGCAAGTAAAACTGAATGTAGAGTCCTGCTATGGTGTGTGAACACTGTCAAAGAACATCAGCTGACATTCATTGCATGCAACATTAGCTGATGTTAGCTTTTGGAACAAACCCTTACTAATTGAAAACGTCAGTTTTTCCATAGATGGATATAAGATATTTTTTATATACTACATTTGGGCTAAGCCCCGAATGTTTATACTGTCTGGCTCCGCCCCTGATTGAATCACGATTCGGTAATGGTTACATCCCTACTCGTAAGGGTTCGATGACTTAGCCAGACTCTCTCTGTGCTCCAGGTGTCCCTGCGCTCCTGTTTCTCGTCGCTGGAGGAGACCATCAATCAGGTGCTGCCGTCTCCGCCCGAGCAGGACCTCCCGCTCTGACAGCTGGATGCAGCAAACCCTCTCCAGCCAATGGATTCTAGTGTTTTCCCGCTTATTGTTGACGGTTCCGGTACATTAGCGTTTGTTGGCGATGTTCGCATTAGTTTTAACGTCGCAGACGTTCTGCTCCCAAGCAAATATTTGCATTGTCTGGAAACCTTCGCCTTGTCAAACACACACACTGCATGATTTCACACGACATTTATTTCATGCGCTGCTCTTAGACTCGAATGTATGTAATTGATAGACTCTTTTTAAATTTAAAAGACATGTATGTGTGAAAATAAACAGCATTGATGTGGATGGTGAATGGTTTTAATGTGCTGGTTTAAGCAGAAATGCCCTGACCCTGAAGTCAAAAGATCAACAGAATGGTTTTGCATTAAGAAAACGAGCCTGTTCTTCATCATGCGATTCTTTTTAAGATTAGATTTTAATTAAAACTAGCATAAATTAAATTCTGAACCACAAACACTACCATGATATATACTGGCATGACATTGTTGCATACTATTTGCCTTAATTACTTTCAAATTCATTAACAACACTTAAATTATGAATGCTGCAACACAGTTCTCACAGACTATCGAGTACAAATGTGATTTAGGGGTTATCCAGGAGACCGTGATGGGTACAGAAGAACCGACAGCCAGAGAGTCAGAGTTTTATTGTTCCACTGAGTCAAAGAGACACCAGGGCAGATAAAGCAGGCACTTTGGTAAATAAACATGCATGAACTCGAACAAAATATAACACCAAACAGAAGAACAACACCTCATTACCTGGGTTATCTCAAACCGTGACACTCTTACAAATACTGTATGAAGAGTTTAGATTTACAGATGAAGCCCAAACACCCCGCTATGACACCAAAACACCCTTCCATCCCATTCCTAAATAGTTGTAACCACACAATTGTTAACATCCAGTAAATCTCACCATTTCAACACGTTTCTCGAAGACAGAATGTTCAGAAGCGCTTTTAGTTTCATCTTATTCTGAAAGGTCACGTTGTGTTTTACCATCCTAATAAACTGCGACATGGAAGCAGTTCAAACACTCCTATCTGCACGATTCTTATCATGAAACAGACCTCTTTCCTCTTCTCCTTCAGGTAGGTGTCCCTGAGGCTCTTCCACTTTTTTCTGCACACGTCCTCTGAATAAACACATTATCTTGTTAGCGAAAAGTAGCTGTAGGGGGGAAATAGTTGTAAAAAACGGCGGGAAGGCCGCGGGTGTGCACGTGTGCACGTGACTCAAAAGTGAAATGTGTATTTACAACTTACCAGGTTGCCCAATCTCCTCACCGACACTCTAGGTCCTTTGGTCCTTTTTATTCCTGTCTCTATAGAAATATGAACTTGTGTCATAAATCTCTGGGTGACTGCTCACTGATAATATCAGTCGTTCCTCCATTTAGAATGAGTGACTCCGGGCGGGCCTGCCGCCACAGCAGCAAGCAGGCTCCTGATTGGTTAACGCGGAGTGAATTGACGCCAAAGTTTAAATTTTTCAACTCGGGCGTCAAACGCGTAAATGCACAAAAAGCACCATTCGCGCGAAACGCTCAATTCGCGTCTGACGCCGCGAGACCTCCAGACGCGCGTAAACGCGTCTTTACATTGACTTAACATTGAAATCATTCGCGCCAGACGCTCTATTCGCGTTTGGTGTGAACGCAGCATAAAAGACTGCTGTTGATTGTTAACTCCAGTGGCGTAGAAGGTAAAGCACATAACAAAGTTTTTTTGTTGACGCGATCGACCCGGGTTCAAATCTTTTTTTTCTCCCTTTTCAAATCTCATATCACATCAGAAAGGCATTTATTTTCAATAAAAATGAAGGAAATAATCAAAAAGTAATTAAAAATATAAAGTAAAAATTTAAATAAATAAATAAAATACAAATGATAAAGTAGTTAATTAAATTAAGTAAAGTATCGGGTAGGTGAAGGGAGGGATTTAGTGTCCCAATAAGGTGGCATCCATTTAATAATTTGAATTAAAATTATAATTTACACTCAATACGTTATTATTGCATACCGTTTTATAATGTACTACAATACTGAGGTGCAGATAATTGCCACTAGTATAAGTACTCTGAGCCAGTAGAGGGAGCTGATAGCCCCAGTATAAGTAGCAGAAAATCCTTCTATTTTAACATAGTGTAAATAGCATCTATCCAGCGTTATTTTTGGCTGGGCCAGTGAAAATGTTGGCACAATTGAGGGCAAGTAAAACTGAATGTAGAGTCCTGCTATGGTGTGTGAACACTGTCAAAGAACATCAGCTGACATTCATTGCATGCAACATTAGCTGATGTTAGCTTTTGGAACAAACCCTTACTAATTGAAAACGTCAGTTTTTCCATAGATGGATATAAGATATTTTTTATATACTACATTTGGGCTAAGCCCCGAATGTTTATACTGTCTGGCTCCGCCCCTGATTGAATCACGATTCGGTAATGGTTACATCCCTACTCGTAAGGGTTCGATGACTTAGCCAGACTCTCTCTGTGCTCCAGGTGTCCCTGCGCTCCTGTTTCTCGTCGCTGGAGGAGACCATCAATCAGGTGCTGCCGTCTCCGCCCGAGCAGGACCTCCCGCTCTGACAGCTGGATGCAGCAAACCCTCTCCAGCCCCCCATGTTACTGGTGGTCTCCCGTGGGGTGACGAAGGGCTCGAGGAATCCCAGGATCTGTGAGTACTTCCACTTCTTCACTGACCCTGCTGCTGACCCACTCCTCTTCTCCATCTCCTTCCTCTTCTCCTTCAGGTAGGTGTCCCTGAGGCTTTTCCACTTTTTTCTGCACACGTCCTCTGAATAAACACATTATCTTGTTAGCGAAAAGTAGCTGTAGGGGGGAAATAGTTATAAAAAACGGCGGGAAGGCCGCGGGTCGTTAAACGTGTACGTGACTCAAAAGTGAAATGTGTATTTACAACTTACCAGGTTGCCCAATCTCCTCACCGACACTCTTCCAAGCGAGGTCCTTTTTATTCCTGTCTCTATAGAAATATGAACTTGTGTCATAAATCTCTGGGTGACTGCTCACTGATAATATCAGTCGTTCCTCCATTTAGAATGAGTGACTCCGGGCGGGCCTGCCGCCACAGCAGCAAGCAGGCTCCTGATTGGTTAACGCGGAGCGAATTGACGCCAAAGTTTAAATTTTTCAACTCGGGCGTCAAACGCGTAAATGCACAAAAAGCACCATTCGCGCGAAACGCTCAATTCGCGTCTGACGCCGCGAGACCTCCAGACGCGCGTAAACGCGTCTTTACATTGACTTAACATTGAAATAATTCGCGCCAGACGCTCTATTCGCGTTTGGTGTGAACGCAGCATAAAAGACTGCTGTTGATTGTTAACTCCAGTGGCGTAGAAGGTAAAGCACATAACAAAGTTTTTTTGTTGACGCGATCGACCCGGGTTCAAATCTTTTTTTTCTCCCTTTTCAAATCTCATATCACATCAGAAAGGCATTTATTTTCAATAAAAATGAAGGAAATAATCAAAAAGTAATTAAAAATATAAAGTAAAAATGTAAATAAATAAATAAAATACAAATGATAAAGTAGTTAATTAAATTAAGTAAAGTATCGGGTAGGTGAAGGGAGGGCTTTATTGTCCCAATAAGGTGGCATCCATTTAATAATTTGAATTAAAATTATAATTTACACTCAATACGTTATTATTGCATACCGTTTTATAATGTACTACAATACTGAGGTGCAGATAATTGCCACTAGTATAAGTACTCTGAGCCAGTAGAGGGAGCTGATAGCCCCAGTATAAGTAGCAGAAAATCCTTCTATTTTAACATAGTGTAAATAGCATCTATCCAGCGTTATTTTTGGCTGGGCCAGTGAAAATGTTGGCACAATTGAGGGCAAGTAAAACTGAATGTAGAGTCCTGCTATGGTGTGTGAACACTGTCAAAGAACATCAGCTGACATTCATTGCATGCAACATTAGCTGATGTTAGCTTTTGGAACAAACCCTTACTAATTGAAAACGTCAGTTTTTCCATAGATGGATATAAGATATTTTTTATATACTACATTTGGGCTAAGCCCCGTACTGTCTGACTGTCTGGCTCCGCCCCTGATTGAATCACGATTCGGTAATGGTTACATCCCTACTCGTAAGGGTTCGATCAGACTCTCTGACTCTCTCTGTGCTCCAGGTGTCCCTGCGCTCCTGTTTCTCGTCGCTGGAGGAGACCATCAATCAGGTGCTGCCGTCTCCGCCCGAGCAGGACCTCCCGCTCTGACAGCTGGATGCAGCAAACCCTCTCCAGCCAATGGATTCTAGTGTTTTCCCGCTTATTGTTGACGGTTCCGGTACATTAGCGTTTGTTGGCGATGTTCGCATTAGTTTTAACGTCGCAGACGTTCTGCTCCCAAGCAAATATTTGCATTGTCTGGAAACCTTCGCCTTGTCAAACACACACACTGCATGATTTCACACGACATTTATTTCATGCGCTGCTCTTAGACTCGAATGTATGTAATTGATAGACTCTTTTTAAATTTAAAAGACATGTATGTGTGAAAATAAACAGCATTGATGTGGATGGTGAATGGTTTTAATGTGCTGGTTTAAGCAGAAATGCCCTGACCCTGAAGTCAAAAGATCAACAGAATGGTTTTGCATTAAGAAAACGAGCCTGTTCTTCATCATGCGATTCTTTTTAAGATTAGATTTGAATTAAAACTAGCATAAATTAAATTCTGAACCACAAACACTACCATGATATATACTGGCATGACATTGTTGCATACTATTTGCCTTAATTACTTTCAAATTCATTAACAACACTTAAATTATGAATGCTGCAACACAGTTCTCACATACTATCGAGTACAAATGTGATTTAGGGGTTATCCAGGAGACCGTGATGGGTACAGAAGAACCGACAGCCAGAGAGTCAGAGTTTTATTGTTCCACTGAGTCAAAGAGACACCAGGGCAGATAAAGCAGGCACTTTGGTAAATAAACATGCATGAACTCGAACAAAATATAACACCAAACAGAAGAACAACACCTCATTACCTGGGTTATCTCAAACCGTGACACTCTTACAAATACTGTATGAAGAGTTTAGATTTACAGATGAAGCCCAAACACCCCGCTATGACACCAAAACACCCTTCCATCCCATTCCTAAATAGTTGTAACCACACAATTGTTAACATCCAGTAAATCTCACCATTTCAACACGTTTCTCGAAGACAGAATGTTCAGAAGCGCTTTTAGTTTCATCTTATTCTGAAAGGTCACGTTGTGTTTTACCATCCTAATAAACTGCGACATGGAAGCAGTTCAAACACTCCTATCTGCACGATTCTTATCATGAAACAGACGCAGAACTAAAGTCTGGACTACATAAAAAGTCATAAACAGACAGTAGTTCATTGTATCCGTGCACCTGTGAACTCTGAGCAGATAATAGCATGTTTTAAAAGTCAGAAATTGGCGGGAACGATCTACACTTTAGCCAGTCTTTGCACTGTGAGTTTTTGCAGTATCGTTGTTGTGTTCTACCACCAGTATTCACCTTAAAAACAAACTGAACTCACAATGGTTCTGAACTTTATCATGAGTCATCTTTGGTTTTTTTTTTTTTTTTTTTGACTAGCCAACACCCTAAACAGTCATTTAAAAACATTTCAAAGAATAACCAGTCAGTTGTTCATCACTGGGAGCAAGGCAGCTGACGAAATAAAAGGCACTTTTCTCAAACCAAGTCTACATTATAAAAACCACTGTTTTGCATGTTGCACAAACTGCTGTTCCCTCAGAATGAAATGCATGTCCTTAACAGGACGTCCTGTCCTCTACGAAAGCCCATTTCCTGCTGGGCCTGAAACCATTCCCTGACCACTCTTTGTCTGGCATTGCTCCAGAACATTTCCAAGTACTTTCCTCGTTTCCAACCGGCTTCCTTCTCCTAGCGCAACTGGAGTTGCGTCATCTCTGCACATTGTAGTCCCTGTTTGTTTCAGCTAGCAGTTGCTCCCAAGGCTTGTTTGTAAGTCTGAGTGACGTTTTCGCAGTCAGAAATCGAAAACACGCTATCGGACACTCCTGCGAGGTAGCACGCCATGTCCATTTCCCAGTGTCCCTGATACTGAGACTCTTCCCTCAAGTCGAGGAGATTGTCAGCGGACACGCATCCTCGCATCCTGCGTCCACTTGCTGGTCGCTCCATTGGGGCGACTGGAATCTCGTGGTCAGGTAGGTCAAGTCTGTCGAAGGACTCCGAGGAGAGGATGCTATCCTCGCTGATCGCGCCGCTCAGTCGGGATCTGTTGACCACCGTTGGTAAGGAGGGTGCAAGCTGGTCCAGTTCCAGCGAGCCGAATTCCATGTCCATTTCCCAGTGTCCCTGATACTGAGACTCTTCCCTCAAGTCGAGGAGATTGTCAGCGGACACGCATCCTCGCATCCTGCGTCCACTTGCTGGTCGCTCCATTGGGGCGACTGGAATCTCGTGGTCAGGTAGGTCAAGTCTGTCGAAGGACTCCGAGGAGAGGATGCTATCCTCGCTGATCGCGCCGCTCAGTCGGGATCTGTTGACCACCGTTGGTAAGGAGGGTGCAAGCTGGTCCAGTGAGCCGAATTCCTGCAGGCCGCCGGAAAACTTGCCGTGCCGTTTGAGGATGCCCTTGCGGTGTGGCTCTGGGTTCCCAAGAGTCTCTCCGGAGCTCTCCGGAGAAGAGGAATAATAGCCTGACTCGCTTTCCGAAGGCTTCTTCAGGATGCCTTTAGGGGGTGGAGGCAGGACAGATGGCGCCAAAGCGTTCTGGCTCTTCTCCTCCAAGGGTGTAGCCTGGGAGTCACTGGGCGCTTTCTGTTTAAGACTTCCCCGCTTCTTTAGAATTCCTTTAAATGGGCGAGGAGCTTCCTGCATGGTCTGCGAGACATTGTTTTCTTTACGCGACCTGCGTATGGAGCGCTGTCGCTGGACCAGTTCCCCTCCGGTGGCCCCGCCTGTCCGCAACAGGCAGCGCATCTTAGAGCTGCTCTCCAGAAGAGGGCGAGAGGTGCGGCGTAGCCAGTCCACAATACGAGTCGGGCCACCGGTTTGGCATGCAGCTGCCGCATGTCCTGGATCCTGATGCGCAGCTGCAGATTCACTCTGAGCCAGTAGAGGGAGCTGATAGCCCCAGTTGAGCCACCAGTGACCCGCGATCTCCTCCAAAGTAGCTCTACGCTCTGGATTTACCATCAACATCCAACGGATCAAACCACACGCATCTGTGGGGCGACAAAAAGGATTAGGATGCTACAAATGTATGGCCTACAACAGGGATGTCCAGTCCTGCTTCAGGAGGGCCACCTTCCAGTCGAGTTAGCTCCAGTTCTAATTAAACTTGCCCAAGCCAACTAACCAATGTCTTCAGGATCACTAGAGGCAGGTGTGTTGGAGCTAATCTCTACAGGAAAATGGCCCTCCAGCTGTAGGACTGGACACCCCTGGCCTACAACATCACAGACTACAAAGCTGCATGCAAACCGACTGGCTTCTGGAAGTCATTCTTTTTCGGTAAGAGTTAGCAACGTGAGGGACTGTTGGCAGTGCAAAGCAGGTGTATCCATGTGGCACAGTTTCAAAGTTTTATGTAACTATGCAAATGATCAGCAATGCAGTGTTTTGACTACTAATGGGACTGAAAGCATGGGAGCACAAACAGTGCACAGTATCCCGATACTGTGTTTCCCAACCCTGTTCCTGGAGGCACACCAATTGTACACATCTTCGAACTCTTCCCAATCAAACACACCTGATTCAACTCATCAGCTTGTTAGTAGAGACTAAAAGACCTGAAATGGTAAGGGAGACATCCAAAATGTGTACTGTTGGTGTGCCTCTAGGAACAGGGCTGGGAAACATTGCGTAGCAAGATTAGTTCACGTTACTCTGGGCAGTTTTGCGGTTATCTGTAATGTAGGGACATAGCTAAAAATGATGCATGGAAAACCATGTGAGAAATTGGACCTAATCAAAAATGTTAAATCAACATTAAAACAGCCACTACAACCAACATCATGGCAACCAGACAACCTCCAGCAATAAAGTTGCTGCCGGTGTGGACTCAACAGTCAGAACTCAAATTTATGAGACTGCCATG